CAAAAAAGATTAGAAGCCAGCTAAGTAAATTCTTGTGTGATTTATGAAGCAGCCTGGGGCTCCCTTGGCTGGTGGGTAAGAGCGTGATCCTTAGGGGGCCAAGTTGGCTGGAAGGGTCAGTGAAGGCAAAGTGAACATGTGTCTTAGGTTGGGTTCCCCTGGAAATGTATTCTGAGAGTGTGCAGAGGTGGGGAGTGCTCTCGGGAACAACATCTGGAAGGCAGCGAGGAAAGCCAAATGGGGCAGAGGGAGGAGTCGAACTGCAATGCAGTTGCAGCCAAGGCCTTGGGTAATCTATATGTCGCTCTGTAACTGGGGTGGCAGTTTAGAGTTGTCCAGAATTGAGGGGAGAAAGCTGGGCTTTTTTACCTCCTCTACGGATCTGGGCTACTCTGGAGCAGGGGACAAAGCTTGGGTGAGGCAACCTCACTTCTACCAAAGGCAATTCCTGGGGATGCAACTGTGAGCTCAGCGGCCAACAGTCAAGACAACTGGAGGAATGAGAACCTCAGTCCTGGTGAGGGATCTGGGTGGCATCCACGACAGCATCCCATTAAATGGAAAACTGGCAGTACTATTTTTGGAATTGTGGATTTTACAACTCAAGTCTATCTCATTATCTCAAATCAATGTCAAAATGTTACACTGTGCTGGACCAGGAACTCGGATGCTCCAAACCTGTCCATGATACGTTCTCATAGCTGCTATAAACATCTCAAGAACCCACATGTGATTGGACCTGAGAGCCCAAGGAGGTGCTATTCTAACTGATGTCTCTGCTGACCCCGGTAAGCTGGGGAGCTTGGCTGCAGTACACCACGTGTCTGGCTAGGAAGTTGTTTCCATGCCTAGCCAAAGGTGACGGACCCAGGGTGGTCACCTGAAATGTGTTTGTCAGATACAGGTCATCATTTCTGGGAATCTTTGGCCTCATTTCCCACATCCCTCTGGCTCAAACGTGTGATGGCTTAAATCAAGATGCTTGGAAGCAATGAGAAATAACCCACTAGAATGTTTCTGCTGCTTCCCTGCTTGCCTACGTCCCACCCTCTCCTGCACACATGCAGACAGACACACACAAGTACAGTACTGTTCTACCATATCCTTAATTTTACAGATCTCCCGCTGAAGGTTCTGACTAATGGTAAGTTATTTGTTCAGAAAGATTTTATGGCTCTCATAAAACGTCAATTACAGTTTTAAAATAACTTGTAGTTTTTCTGTAACATGATGCTGCCATCTTGGTTCCCAGAGGGTGTATTAAATTCAAGTAGCAATAACAAATCATTTAAGCAATAAATAAATAACCTGAGACGGAGCGTTGTTAAGAGTTAATAGTCTCCCATACACTCAATAGAGGTTGAGGCTCCACTCAATTAAAGTGACCCCGGGAAGGGGGGGGCACAGGGGCCAAACTGCACCCAGTCGTTTTGTTGAAGGTATTCAACCCGCACACATTCATTTCCTTCTTTATGTTGTCTCTTTTCAGCAGGGAAGGCTCTCTGCAGTCCCTCGTTCCAGAGAACAATTACGGTACAGTCTCAGAGAACAGAGAGAAAGCTGGGGTCATAAATATGTTAAATGGGTGCGTGGGTTTAAGTGGCTTTGTAAACGAAACACGGAGGAAAACTCCGACTAATTAATGAATATGAAGCAGCGGGAAGGCTGGAGGTTTCTGGGGGACAGTCTTGTTGTGGGGTGAGGATGTGACATCTGTAGAATTATTTTCCTCCAGGAAGGGACACTTGCTTATTTCAAAAACTTTTTTTCAAGATCTCAAAGTGGCTTTGTGGAGAATATCAGATGTGGGTGAAAACACGCAAAAAGCATTTAAAAGTGAAATTCTCTTAAGTTGCAATTCCTCTGATCAAGTTATAACCTCAGCCTGAAAGAATGATCTTGCAGATTTTAAAAAAGTGTTATCCTTGTATTCTGAGAGAGAGACATCATGCTAATCTTGAAAAGAAGATGAATTGCATATTTTTAATATAGATTCACAGCGCATTCCAATATATAGACTATCTCCTAATAAGTGGCATTTGTTGAATATTAAATTCCATTTGGATCAAATCAAGGATTAAGATTTTATGATGTGGCATTTCTGTAATGTTCTAAAATATTTCAGTTTATCTGTTTGGAGAATTTACTATTTTTCCTTTTGTTCCTTCTTCACCTTTTATTTAAAAAATTATTAGCACAAATATCTTATCTGCATGGCACGTTAAAGGTTCCCTGCATGCCTCCTATGACCCGTGTTTACCTACAAATGACTTCCAGATCTTCTATGTGAGACAAGCCAGTGCTGGTACTCTGAAATGTCCCTGAACTTGGGGGATGCTGACACTGTAGGAGCCAGTCGGAGAACAACCACCAAACATAGGCCACAGCAGAGACGTGGATGGACAAAGGAGTCAGGGAGGAGAGACAGACTCGAACAATGATGGGAAAAGTAGACAGGCACAAAGAAAGACACAGACAAAAACAAAAACAAAGACAGAAAACCCAGAAGCAACAGAAAAGTGGCAAACAGTAATACTGCTTCTAGGATGTGCCCAGACTTCCTTGTTTAATTGACCAAATGGCAGAGCTGTGAGCAAAAGATTAAATAGTTGATCTAATTTGATTGTTAAGATACAAAAATAAGCAGAACAACCTCACCTTAAGCTGTTTTAGCATCTTAGTTGCAATGATAAACAAACAAAACATTGCTAAATCTTGTCTATATTGATTCAACCAACTCATTTTATTTTTATTGCACTTAAAGCTGAAGAATTACTTTTATAATTCTTAAATGTAATTGATGAATGACATCTATTCTTCAAAAAGAAATAGTACATGTTTTATTGAACACCTACTACAGGTAGGGGATCAAGGCTTTGCACAAAGAATACAAAGATGTGTAAGAACTCTAATTGATCTTAAATTATTAAGGAAATAGATGGTCAAGGTTACATGATAAACATATGTCAAACTAAATGATATCAAGATAAGTCCTGAATAGTACAAGAAACAACAGAAGAACTGTCACAAGAAAAAACTCTTGATAAATTGCTTAATGAGGGATACAGATTATAAATGTTTTGAGGTCTGAAAGGAGAAGACTTGGGCGTTACAGTAATCATTGATTGTTCCATGGAGATCATGACCCGCTTTGGGCCTTCAGGGACCTCTGATTCCCTTACAGGTAAAAAGAAGAAAAGGATTTGGAGACATTTATTTACATATTATTTATTGCTATTGTTTGATTTATAAGGAACAATGAAATCATAAGCATATTAATAGTAGTATGATGTGAATTGTATTTTGTCTTAAATTTTCAACTTATGCACAAATACAAAGAGAAAGTTATCTAGGCAATCTTCGGGCTGCGGTGAAACTATTCTATGGAAGAGAGTGATTCTGCAAATAGTTATTAAGCAAAAAAATGGTAGTAACTCTCAAATACCTATCTCTTTTGTCAGCATCTGTATATACAAACTATCAAAAGACTATTTTATATATGGTCTTTGCTGTGTCAGAATGGAATAATGTCCTTCTCCCCTGAATACCTTATAGCTCTCAGAGCATGATTTAAACACTCAAATGTCTATCAGAGAAGAAAAACAGATCCGTATTTTCCTAGAGTTGAGGATGGGAGCAGGGAATAACTGTCACCTGGGCACAAAGGAATTTGGGCAGTGATGGAAATGTTCTAAAAAAATACATTGTGGTAATGATTGTACAATTGAATACATTAACTAAAATCACTGAACTTTACATTGATTACAAGAAAATTTAATGATTTGTAAATTATAATTCAAGAAAGCTACCTTGTTTTAAGTGTCTACCAGGCCAGGGTGGTAATCTAATGCAATCCCAGGTTCTATGTTGTGGATGAAGATGCAGTCTTTTTGCATGGTAAACGTTTAAGAGTGTCCCTCAACCTCACTCAGATTTTGCAATCTCCCATATTTCATGAAACCCAGGATTTTCTTGTCCTATTTTTCATTTTCTAATTTTTATAGAGACGTGAGTATAGAAAAACATTGTTTAAATTAGAAGAAAATGACATGACAAATGACAATCCAAAATTTCTCACTGTGGAGCCTCAGTAGAGAGTGGTAGGGCCATAATACCTGGAGCGGTGTGTCCCGTGTCAAGGGGACGACCACTACTCAGCTCCATTGGTTGTTACAGGGTAGGGAGGGGAAGTTGCTGGATTTTCTACATCTCCAAGAGAATGTTATAATGAAATCTGATTTTAAGATGTTGGTTCAGACTTTTAAAACAAAACACAATGTGGTCCAAACAAAATGGGACCAATTCAGTCGATAAGATGAAAATCCACAGCCTCTGCTTTATAGTCAGAAGCTCACAGTGTAGTGCTTAATTGTGGATTTCCTAGTTTTGCTCACTGTTGTTCTCTGTGGGCTAATTGTGACTCTTCAGCTTTTTATAGTTCCTGGAGCTGGAGGTTGGGGTAAGGGTTTTGGGCCTGATAAATACATGTGTGTGCATGTATGTGTGTGTGTACTGGTCTCAACCCCGTGCCTAGCTTTGTGCCAAATATATATGACAAATGCACAGTCAGTACTGTTGATTTCATTACTATAATCAAAATATCATGCAAATAAATGTTTTCTTGAAGACTAGCTCAAATATGCATGCTACTTCACCCATCTAGTAAGATACAGTCTGGACTCAAACTCAAGTCTAAGTAGACGTCACTTAAAATGACAATGACCTGTCAGGTTTTCCCTGGCCAGATCTAGCATACAAGAAAATAAAATAACATTTTTCTGTATTGGGCCATCATATGATTTCTGAAATGTGGCTGAGACTAGATAGATTCTTACTAAATGTTGTTTCTTCTTTCTGGGCATACATAAAGACTACGTTTCCCATTCTCCCTTGCAGTTAGTTTGAAGTCACTTGACTATATTTTAGGCATGCAATTTGAGCAGACATATTCCAGGACTGGCTTTAGAAGTCTCCTGCATGAATCTCCATACCTCTTCTCTTCCCATGCTGTAGCATTTGTGGAGGATATGTGTTAGAATAGAGTCATCACATGATGGAAGGAACCTGGGTTCCTGAGTCACAGGGTGGAGGAGAGTCACAAAGGAGAGTCATCTGGCCTACATCAGACTAAGACAGGTAATAAATAAATATATTTGTGTTAAGCCACTGATATTTGAGGATTGTTTGTTATATAGCAACTAGCATTATTTATCCCGTGCTTTTTTAGGGATAGTCTGAAAAAAATTGATTACACATGTAGGTGGTTCAGACCCTTCCGATGTAATTAATAATGACAGATTGCTGAATAATCATACACTTTTCATAGTTAACAGAACTCCTTTGCACACTATTTTATTTAATGCTCACAACACAACCCTGTGAGGGAACAAGATGAGGCTTATCACCATTGGGACAGATAGGAAACTGGGGTGCAGAAAGGTAAAGGGAAGCAGCTGGGATTTAAACCTGAGTATTTTGAGTCCGTATTTAGCTTCCTGTTCATCTACCACTGTTTATGTTTAGCAGCGAATCCCCAAAGAGGTGGAAAGAATCCTTAAACTTGTTATCTAATTATCTTTTCATATTCATATTTTAATTGCAAAATTGCATGCAATATTGATGCCAAGTCTTCAACATGGCCTGGGTTCTTACACTAATGTTAATTATTATTGCTTCAATTAGGTTTCTGTAAAAAGAGAAGGGGTTGTGCAACTTCATCTACTGCATTTTATTCATATAAAAACTTGATGATGACATATAAAAACTTGGATTTTTATAGTGCAATGTATCTCCTGGAAAAGTATAAAATTCAGAATTTTTCATCCATAAGGTAAAATACATGGTGTATAATTATAAGTACAATTTGCCTCATTTTTGAATAACTTCTTTCTCAATTAGTGGTGTACACACTGACAAAAATTTCCTTTGCGGGGACAAAAATTAATAATATTTTATAAATATGATGCACCAAGAAATTAAACACTTTCAAAACTGTTTTTCACCAAAGAGAAGAAATAAAATACTAACAACGAATAAGCTCAAGGAATTTCCAAACTTTTATATTCTACGGTCCCACTCACATTCTATCTCTTTACTTTCCTTGTTCCCCTGTCTGAAATAGCATATTTTAAATCCATTATGATTCTGTCAATTTTTTCAGGATTGCACAGAGTGCAGCCTACTGTGTACCACACCTAGGTGGTTCTCAACCCCCAGAAAATGTTTGGCAACTGATGCATTGTCACAGGCCTGCATATTCTGAAGAGCCCCACATTTCGTTTAATGCTCTGTGGCTGCCCCTTATCATTCTTAATAATTTTATCTTTGAACTTGGATTTTGTGAGTAAAGTCTGATGGGACAGTGGAGAATGTGCATAAAAAAGATGTAGAATATGTGGGGATGCCTTTTCTTGCCACCCCATTCACGCTTTAGTAGCATTCATGGTGCCCTATGAGCACAGAATGCTGGTGGTCTACCGTGAGTGGGAGTTCAGTAAGACTCAGTAGTAGTACAAATTAAGAGTCTCATCTATACCAATGTAGCTCCACTAGGCTGTACTTTCTGCTTGAACCAGAGCTTTCTTTGAGTGCAGAAAAACACAAGCAACGAAGGAATCCTGTCATATTCTTTCTTATTCAGGCCATTTTCCTGTATTAGCCAAGCACTTGTCCCGAAAATGATGACACAGAGAGAAAAGGAAAGATAGGGCAATGCATAGTTCCTTTTCCTTCCAGAGCTCCCCTATTCAGCAGTAAGCTGAAGGTAGAGAGAGTTTGTAGAATGTGTGCATGTTTTTATTTTCTTTTTTGAGATGGAGTTTCATTCTTGTTGCCCAGGCTGGAGTGCAATGGCACAATCTCAGCTCACTGCAACCTCCGCCTCCAAGGCTCGAGCAATTCTCCTGCCTCAGTCTTCCGAGTAGCTGGGATTATAGGCACACGCAACCACCAATCCTGGGTAATTTTTTGTATTCTTAGAGGAGATGGGGTTTCACCATGTTGGCCAGGCTGGTCTCGAACTCCTGACCTCAGGTGATCTGCTCACCTTGGCCTTCCAAAGTGCTGGGATTACAGGCATGAGCCACCATGCCCAGCTCAATGTGTGCATATTTTGTGCAACATTTTCACTATTCTAGTAAGAGTGACATGCATGTGCATGCGTGAACTATGACATAGGAGTTGTGTCTTTGTTTGAGATGGAGAGTCACTCTGTCACCCAGGCTGGAGTGCAGTGGTGCATTCTCGGCTCACTGCAGCCTCTGCGTCCCAGGTTCAAGCGATTCTCCTGCCTCAGCCTCCCAAGTAGCTGGGATTACAGGCACACGCCACCCGCCTGGCTAATTTTTTGTATTTTTACTGGAGATGGGGTTTTCCCATGTAGACCAGGCTGGCCTTGAACTCGTGACCTCAGATCATCCACCCGCCTTGGCCTCCCAAAGTGCTGGGATTACAGGCGTGAGCCACTGCACTCAGCTATATCATTTCTTTATATGAGCTAAATGCTGTTATATTTGCAATTAAAACTGGCATTCTGCAACATAAAGATAAACAGTAAAATTCATGCTAATAAGTTACAGTTTTAATTTTTCGTTATTGGACTGACGTTAAATAGCAAATAAAAAATATTAATACCAAGGCAAGTCGAGAGAGAGACGGTGGAAGAAAGGAAAAGCTGCACGTTTCAGTACCTTTAATGTTACTTTTCCCCTGCTTTTTCAACAAGGAGTCTACATTTTCATTTTGCGCTGCACCCTGAAAATTATGCAGTCGCACTAATGGAGACAGTTTTGATTGTCACAACTGGGATGGAGGATGCTACTGGCATCTAGCAGGAAAAGGCCAAAGATGCTGCTAAACGTCCTGCAGTGCACAGGACAATCTTTACCACGGAGCCAAAAATGTCCATGGTGCAAAGGTTGAAAAACCCTGTGGCATTTAGGTCCATTTATAACTTTTCCAACTAAATGTCCAGTCCCTTAGGTCATGGGCCATTGCTGCTTTTTCTAACTCGTGTAGCATCCAGTACACTTTCTGTCACCACTGATGGAATGTTTAAAAAAGTGATCAGCCGGGACCGGTGGCTCACACCTGTAATCCCAGCACTTTGGGAAGCTGAGGCGGGTGGATCACAAGGTCAGGAGATCGAGACCATCCTGGCTAACATGGTGAAACCCCGTCTCTACTAAAAATACAAAAAAAAAAAAAAAAAATTAGCCGGGCTTGGTGGCGGGCGCCTGTAGTCCCAGTCACCTGGGAGGCTGAGGCAGGAGAATGACTGCACTCCAGCCTGGGCAACAGAGCAAGACTCCGTCTCAAAACAAAAAAAAAGAATCAATGCTTGTTCTGTTAAAAAGAAAAAAAGGAATAGTCTTTCAATGTTCTTTGCTTGTTATATCATCCTCCTTGTCATACAGGCTTGGTAAACCATTTGCACAGCTTGCTGATGACTTGTGTGCTTCAAGTCAGTGGTGAAGCCGGAAACAGAAGCCCTACCTCAGATCTTCAGAGATAGACTTAGATTTATTATTTCCATCAGAATTAATATGTAGCTGAAAAGGCATAATTGAGAATTGAAAAGATTTTACTACTGAAGTTAGGAGGCAGGCATCAGTGAAAGGAAATATTAATTTAGTTCCTGACTTATGGGCACTGATATTGGGTGCTTCATATTTAATCCTTTGTTATAAATGGTTATTCTTTTTTACAATGCTTATTCTTTTTTATAATTTTTAATAAATGGTTATTCTGTTTTATAGGTGAGAAACTTGAGGCTCAGAGAGATTCAGTAACTCATCCAAGTTCATATGTCTAAACAATGTAGACTCAGGTCTAAGTGATTCTGAAACATGTGACGCAGGATCTGGCCCCCCTGCAGGTACACTTCACCACTGAGGACTACAATATGAACGCTGAGGTTGAAATGCCAGTCCTATTCCATATTTATGCAGTGCCCCCACTGATGGGGGTACCACATACCCTGTCCAAACCAAGACACCTTTGAGAGTGAAAGGAGTTATTAATCTGTATGCTGGGACAATAGCATATTATTAACTAGGACTGCTCCAGTGACATGCGGACCTACTATGATCATCCCCAACCCCCAGGAATTTCTTGGAAGCGGGTCGCTTAGCAACACAAGGGAAGCATCCTGGTCAGGGCATCTGCTTCCCCAGAGCAACCACTGACATGTCTACCATGTTTACTTGATAGAAAGAAGTAACAAGGGAAAGAAACACGGAAGGCGTTTTACAATTCGTCATAAAATGAGTGCTGGGACCCTATTTTTTGCTTCAAAAACATTAGTCAAAACAATTCAGCTGTAGTCCTGGTATCATAGAACACACATATCCTAGCAAATCTCAAATGCAATAGTTTATCAGTTTATTGTCCACAGAAGAGCTTCTAATTATAGGCCTGTGCCAGACTCTCCTTATTCTGTGATGTCTCTGGGGCAGCGTACATGGGCATGCAAATGGGACAAGAAGAATTCTGATTCCTCACGCCTATTTAAACATCCCCTGGAAGTTGTGAAACTCCTATTCTGGGTTCATGCCACAAACATGATGTGGCTAATTAAAGAGTCTAAAATCAAAAGAACCACAGCTCCTTCTTTCAAAACACGGTATTTCTCTTCCTCTTTCTGCTCCTCCTTCTTCTCTTATAGAGCTCTTACTACCAAAGTACATGCAAATTAGACATGTATTACTGGAAAAAACTGGAGGAAAAGGAGCTGATGACTTTAGTGGGGCAGAAGGTCCAAATATAGGGCAGGAATCCAGCCCCACACGACTCGCTTATTTGGATATCCCCTGCTATTCATATTCTACTCACCTCCTGTCCCCCAAATTTCTGCTGGGCACCTGCCAAAACTCTGATGTATGAATCTAAATTTGATGTTCAGCACACATATTTCTTCCCAGTCATGAAGATCCATGACTACAAAGACTAGGAAATGAGAATCTAGGCCCCAGACCTTGCTTTGGACTGCAGTATTTCCATATATTGACTCAGGGATACTTAGAGGGCTGGATTTGCGATGTCACGCCTGAGAGCCTGCTGGTTGTCAGCGGGGGTCTCCTTCTTGGCTGAGGAAGGCAGTGGCTCAGAGACCCGCTCTTTGTCTGAGGTCACACAGA